ATACACTGTTTATTGAGACACAAAAATGGTTACAGAAAAGATGCTGTATGCACCCAAAATCGGAACTCCTGGTACCCTGCCCTCAGGCTCAATTTGCTTGCATCAATACTGGGTGTACCCACACCGAAACACACATAACTCTCACAGTACCTTAGCATCAATAAAACCAGTGGCACCTGCCAGTACAACACTCAATACCCCAGGGGCAACACTCAAGCGGCTGCCATGGGAGTCTCATCATCAAGTGACACTTTCCAACACTCCGATAATTCTGGTGAACTAATACCACCACACAAATAACCCTACTGAGCTATGTACTGTACTCATCCACCAATGATGGGGCTGGCAGTGGTTTGTGGGTTTGACGATCAGGGTTCACCACGGGGGCATAGCGTTAGGGGGAGTTGTTGACTACACAGAGCCGAGCCGAGTCTCACTCGCTAATAACGCCCATGGTAGACTCGCTATAGTATCGTAGCACATGTCTTCCTTGGCCTGTCCTCCGATTCTAGTTTTGCCTTATTAAAGACATCCTTCCATGACCATCTTGCCCATAGGCGGCTACCGAACCTCGGTAGTGGTGGCAACACAAACAGTGCCTGAGATAATGATGGAGAAGCGTCAGAGAAGTGAATAATAACTCAATCACAAACAATCTTTTGTCTAGCAACGACAGACAATATTTACATTACATTAATTCTTTCACTCGGCAAATGATAATTTCACTGTTACAACATGAACACTGATATTCACAAATTTACTGAGATTAACTGACTCAATGTGGCGGGCGGAGAATCGTACACATACATGAGATAATGATGGAGAAGCGTCAGAGAAGTAACGCTCTCATCGTGCACGAGCTTATATACGGCTAACTGGCAACTCAGGTCTGTGCTGAACACATGCCAGAAGGGCTAATCATGCAATGACAGAAATTACATTCAACTCAGTTGCTGTACATTTAACTATGACACCCCAATTGCCACGGGTCAGGCGAATTTCCTACGTCTATTCATATAATCTAATCAGAGATTAAGCTTGCCAGGAAAAGGTGGAATTACACACGCTGTTAACATTAGTTTTGCAAAATCAGCGAAGCTACAAACAAGGAACTATTCAAGGGGATACGTTAGATGTTGGAGATTATATAGGTTGACAGAATAGTTCAGGATATTAATGACTTTCTTAAATAGAAAACTGACTAAACTACAAACATCAGATTCTCTGATGTTTGGGCATCAAAATAATCTAACTTCAGTAGCAATTGGAAATTCATGGCGATCCCCAGGGACAATATCATGGGATGTCATTTGTACTGGCAAACTCATCACTCACTTACTTAACCAATGTTACTAACAATAAAGACAGTTAGAGCTTTCAACATCACTCACAAAGGATTTTGTATGTTTTAACTGTAATCAGACACCTCTAAGTTGACTCAAAACAATGGTGTCCTCACTTACATTCAAATTCACTTTATAGAGGTTGGTTTCAGGAAGTCAGAGAATATGGGAAAGCGGAGGGCTTAGGGGTTTTGAAGTGATGAGAAAACGGATGCCTCAGATGGGAGACTCAATAAAGAAGGCATAAGCTACATGTTTTGTGGGCTATTGAGCGTAATATGAATCGTCTGATTTTACGTTAACTGACTTGTATGACCGTGGTCATTACAAGGCTTTCCCCTCCCAAAAGATTCATATGATGCCGTAAAGTCAACAAAACATTCACAGTAATTATATAATTTTTCAAAACAAAATATACTGAAATACTTGGTTAATGGTTAACAATACAGACAACATACGTGTTACAAAATTTTCACATACTTAAAAATTTTGCTCATTAAAGAAATAAAGTTACAAAACTTCCAGACATGGGTAAATGAAATTAACAAAGCAATACTGGTCATAGACACACAGAAGAACATATCCTTACTTGGAGCTGGCGGACGCTCGCCCCACAAGGGGTCACAGCTCAAGATTGAAGAAGCCGCAAGTCCAGAAAACCGTGAGGGCAAACTTTTTCGGAGTGAGGGTTGTAAACTCTTGGAACAATCTACCAGAGAGTGTTGTGACGGCACCGAATGTGAGCTCTTTCAAGAGAAGACTTGACCAACACTGGAGCGGGTTCAGGTACATTCAGGAGCCGGTGCATGCCCAGTATTTGCCAACAGTGCGTGACAGAAACGTGACCGATCACCCGGGCGGCTAGCCAGCCGACCTTTTGGTGAAGAATATAAAGGAAAAGAGACGTGACCGATCGCCCAAGCGGCTAATAAGCCGATCAGTGGCGAAGAGGATAAAAGTAAAAAGTAATCATATATCAACATTACAGAACATACGAATAAAAACAGGCATGCCTCAATTACATTTTGGTCCATTTTACCTACAAACATCCAATTTGATTACACGTAGTTTCCATTTAGGCGATTGATCAAGTATGTACATTAGGCCCAGACACAAAATTCAACAATAGAGTTTTCAAGCTAGGAGTAAATAAACTGACCCCATCCAGCCACTGAATTATTCGGGTTGACCTTATCACAAAAAAACGAAACGAGGAAAGATCTAGTGGCCAGAGTGTTATATATATGTATGTTTATATGCTGCCTTTATTGATTATAAATATATATTATATATTATGTTACATCTTACCAAAGTCAGCAACTGTTTAGGCTTGTGTAAACACGAAATGTGTTAGGCAAGTTGTAACCACGAACAGAGAATAAACGCCCCAGCCAGACCAACCATGTGACTTGTCATTCTCCCATTAAATAAAGCAAGATACTACACTGGCGACGAGGATGGGATTCACAAAGTGTTGGTGAAGTCCTTGAAGAGAGGATAGTGATGCTCAGAAGAGAAAGGCCCTTGAAGAGAAAAGGAAGGCAATCTTTTTGACAGAGGTAGGAGCTAATGTTTATTCTACTCTGGTCAATCTGCTTACTCCAGACAAACCCAAGGACTCCTCATTGATTCAGATTACCAAGATTCTGAAGCAACATTTTGATCCTGCTCCACTTGAGATGGCTGAAAGTTACAGATTTGGCACCAGAGACAGAGGTAAAGATGAATCAGTACGTAATTATATAGTAGCTTTGAAGAAGTTATCCATTCACTGTAACTTTGGACAGTTCTTGAACCGAGCTCTAAGAGACAGGTTTGTAATAGGCCTGAATTATGAAAAAATACAGAATAAGTTAATGAACACCATTAACTTAACTTTTGAAAGTGCATGTCAGATAGCTACAAGCATGGAATTGGCCAAGAAAAACACCAGAGAATTTGTTCCCAATGCTGGTAGTGAAACAGTTGGCAGTAGTGGCTCAGTGTGTAAAGTAACTGTAGCTAAAAGGAATAAGTATACTATAAAACAAGGAACACATGCTGATTTAAAATGTAAGAGGTGACGAGGGAAACATGAAAGCTTTCAGTGTAAGTTCAAGAATTCAAAATGTTACAATTGTCAACGTATTGGACATATTGCTCCTGCCTGTAGAAGTGATAAAGGTAAAGTATATGCCTTTGAAGGTGGAGAGAAGGAAATAAAAAACAGTATTCATGAGAGTGTTTGTAATTTTGGACCTGATAATGATAAGAGTGCCCATGTGTTTACTATTTACACCAGTCGTGAAGAGAAAGTTAAACATAGGTATTGTAGTGGACGTCTCTTCTACAAACTAACTGCGTAGCTGCACACCACCTGCTACCGTCTTCCCTAGCAACCAAGCGTATCCGCATTCCAATGCCTGCCGTATCTTAGCAACGGAACTAGTCACCGGCTACTTCTCGGGTTTTCCCAACATGACTCACAGAGGACTGGCGGCTGCTGCTGGGTGTATATAAGCTCTGTCTCTCCATTGAGATTCATTCTGCCCATTTTCCTGAACAAGCCACATCTCCTCCAGCAAGCTCCACGCTGTTAACATTTATTCAACCAGGAGGCCAGCAACAGGCAACATCTTCTCTAACGAAGCTCCTGCACATCTACCTCCTTCACCAAGCTACTCACCTCACGTCTCTACCAAGCAGCCCCTCACCGCACGTCTCTACCAAGCAGCCCCTCACCACACAGCACCTCCAGCACCAGACTGTCTATCATATAACTTATATATTATACAAGAAAACCACATTAGAGTTTCCTTCCATCCTGAGTGCTAGACGACATAAATATCTCGATACCCCTACAATGGTGACTCCCGGAGATAAGCACTCACACAGGATGGAGGACGGACGGATCTCTCTGCCGATTTTCAACCACAACGTCGAGGACTGGCTTGATCATGTGGAAGCAGCCCTCTTGATTCCTAATGAACCAAAATGGCCCGCTTTCTCCTGTGCCTTACGGAAGTGGCCACATAAAAAAAGATCCTCTATGACATTTCCAACCCTCCAGATCACAACAAATTCGCTACCCTGCAGGCTGCAGCAAGACGTGTTATCAACAGACCAGCCCCAATCTCCTGCAAGATCTATCCTCTACCTCCCTCAGAACTCAGCAGGGGCGTCTCTCTGGGAGGAGATGGCTGAACTCCCGTCACAGACAGACTCTGAACTCTATCCTGCGCCAGCTTCACGCTTTCAAAAACTACCACAAATGCGCAACATCTTGTCCGCCGTGAATTGCATCCCACGACACGGAACTATATGCAACGCGGCAGATAAATTTTTTTTTTTTCGCTTGAGTGCGCTATGCTGCCTGCCGCCATGGTCTGGTGCCTGCATCGAACTTGTAAGCCGGGTCAACACCCCTCAGCCGACAATAATACCTTCACAAGGCATCAAGAGATATATTGCAAATTCTGGAACCAGATGGACACCATTGAGCAGTTCTCCTCCATACCGCTTCTTTCATAGGTTTTCTGGCTCTTCGCCCTACAAGTTCCCGACACACAGCAGCCTTTAGCACAGCAAATTTATCTGTGGTATCACCAGACTTTCAGCCGCTATGCTCGAAACTGGGCTATTGCCTATTAGGGAAGCAGCCTTTGCGGGCTTTGGTAGGCGCCTCAGCCTCCAGTCCTCAGGCGTCTCATTACTGGCGTCACCGACGCATCTCCGGCAAAGTTCCTCATCGGCACCGAAAGTTCCTTCCCGGTCAGCCTCATCCTCCTCCTGCAGACAAGTCAAGCAACCTCGTGTGACCTGTTCATGCCAGCAGTGCCTCCGCCGCCTTCTCTGGTACCCTCGCCTTAGACCTCGGTCTGCCCAAGACTCTCGTTGGTTATTCGTGATAGCAGACATGTCTCAACCATCAGCGGTTCGACTTCTCACCTTCCTGACTTGGCGTCAAGCCAAAGTCATCGCTTCTCGTTCATGAGCCTACAGCACCAGATCAGGGTTCTCGTGCAGACACAGACGCTATCACCTGTCTTCAAGTTCTTATACGAATTTAAAAGACTTTTCTCCTTGGGTCTCCTACCCCACCACCTACGTCAGGGAATTTTTCCACCCACATCGAGCAAGGACCGCATTCTTGCCTCGCCGCCTCGCCCTGAGCTCTGTACACAGCCAAAGTAGGGTGTAACTACTGCAAGACAGCATCATTCCCGCCCTTCAAGGGTCCCTGGGCATCGCCTCTTCACATGGTTCCTAAGCGAACACCCGGCGATTGGAGGGTGTGTGGCGACTACAGAGCGGTCTAAATCACCAAACAGCAGGCACTATTCCGCATGTCAGGACTTTACCACAAACTTCCTTGCTTAAGACTTCTTTCTTCTGAAGATGCGACTTGGGCGTGCTCACAGATCCCAGTAGCACCGACGAATACAGAAGACAGCCATCACCACTCCGTTCAGACTCAGCAGTACACTTTTGTGAGTTTGGCAATGCAGCACAGACTTTCAGGGTTCATGGACCAAATGCTTGGCGACCTCGATTTTGTCTGCGTCTACGTGGCGGTACATCCTGCGTCGCATCTTCGACGCCTGCGAACCGCCACCACCTACAACTCCTTCTCCAACGCCGCAGAACAACAACATGAAAGTTCATCCTGCTAAGTGTAAAATGCTTTGGAGGCCCTCTGACCATCGATTCCTCGGTCACAAGTCTCGCCCAGTGTGTCCCCTATCACAGAAGATAATAACCGCGATTAAGTCCAAACCTGAAGCTTGGCGAAGAAACTCCGGGGAGTTTCCTGGGATTTGATATTTCACACGCTTTGTTAACCAGCTGCCACCGTCCTAGCCCTAAAACCTTCTCAAGGGGCGCCCAAAAATCTCTAGAGTCCTCAGACTCAAGAGGCTATAATTCCACTGTTCCTCTGGCCCACCCGCACCCTAACGCCGGACCACTCTCTCACAACAGAGCCTTCTTCTACTGCAGTGGAAGCAAAATGCCCACAGCAGGAGATCAACGGAATTTTCATGCCCGTTGCTTTCTTCTCTAGCAGCTTCCTTCAGCACACCTCAAGTGCTGGCGGCGCGGTGAGAACTCCTGGCCATATACTTGGCTGTCAGACATTTCCAGCACTTCCTCGAGAACCCGTCAGTTCTGTCTTCACTGATCTGAAGCCCTCGTCCCACGCCTTGGCTAAGCAGTCACATGCACCTCGTGTCTCGCCACTTGGCTTACATCTCAGGAGTTCTCCAGCGACGTCCAGCATTAAAAGGCAGCCATGGATCGCCGACGCCCTCTCTCGTTTTTCTATCCACCATTCTTCCCTCATCTCCACCGGCTGGTTACAGACGGCCTGGCAGCGGCTCGAAGAAAAGCGAACCTGGCGGCATACAAGACATCCCCCTCAGGCCTCCTTCTCCAAGAACTCCTGTTCCTGGCACAAAGATAAATTGGTGCGGCGTATCCTGTGGACAACCCTAGACGTTAAATGCCTCCGTCCCCGCCAGCTGTTTCGACACGCATCATGGTCTCAACCACCCAGATTAATGCGGGCCTCCCAGCGCCTCCCTCCACGCATGTGTAATCTGGCCCGGCTTAAGTCTGATCTTTAAATGGGCTGCCCAGTGCCTGGCCTATATGATCCTCAAAATACATCGTCCTCACAGACTTCCTTTCTGGCCTTTCCTATTCCCAAGGACGTTTCCAAGTAGTACACCTCGACATCGTGGGACCTCTACCATCCTCCTACAGTAGCACCTACATCTTCACCTCATCGACCATTTCTACCAGGTGGACAAAGCAATTCCCATATAGCGCTACAGCAGAGACTACTATCCGCCTTCATGTCGATTGGGTTCCCGTTTAGCCCCCCACAACATCAGCTCACTGACCGGGGGTTTGGTCGCTCTGGCAGCAGCACCTCCTACAGTTCTCGGCACGTCCTGAACAACCTTTTCTGACATACCTCAAGCTGTGACGTGGTGGCCAGTTTCACGGCAGCTGAAGGGCGCCTCAAGGCTACAACGACCCTTACAGCTGGACTGATGCGCTTCCCTTAGTGCTCCTCGGCATCCGTGCGTCACTGGAGATATGGACTGTGTGGATCTGACACTAAGCGAGCCCCTTCCGGCTACCGAGTTCTCCTCCTGATCCCAACCGTCCAGCCGTTCGTCGACTTACTCCAGCTTCGACAAGCAGTTTCTGCATTCAGAGCTACTGCTCACGCCAGCCTACTCGGCGCTGAACACATCCTCCTGCTGCTCACAGCCAGGTATGTTTTCGTCAGGCATGATGCTACCGCAACCCATTACCGCCCCTACGATGGACCCTTCGATGGTTCGTTCAGCAAAGTTCTGACAATTATCCGGAATGGCAGACGCGGCGCAAATCGCGGCATGAACCGAGTCCGACCGGCCTTACCGTGGACCCCAGCCCGCCGGCACCATCAGCCAAACTCATGCCGCAGTCCACCGCCCAGTTACCACCGACGGCAACACCACGCCCACGACATTTTCCTGGGCCCTCTTTCACCCTCATGTACAACCTGCTTCTGTCATAGAACCTGCCTGTAATGACCTCCCTTCTATCAAGCAGAACCTGCTCCTGTCATAGACCCTCCTCCTGTGTCCTTAGAGCCTGAACCTGTAATAGATCTCCTTCTATCATAAGGAACCTGCTTTCTGCTTGGACCCTCCTCCTGACGCAGCCCCTGCTGGCAGCAGGACCCTGTGCTCATTAGCCATACAACCTCCTCTAATCCCCAAACCCTCTTTCTCCTCCTAATTCTCCCACAGGTTTGTGTCACTGGATAAGGTCGTTACACGTAGCGGTCAGTCGTACATACACCTGCCCGGTATGTGTTAT